GTAACTGACTATTAATAGATTAAATATTGAAATCAAACAAAAAAAGAACTGTATCATCAGCATACATTATAATATTTGAATACTTCAATATTTTTGGAAGGTATTGCTGACTTGATAATAAACTCCTCACCGTCTTTCCTTCACAGATCAAACCTCCAGATGAGGCTGCAGTAGGACTTCCTGCAGTGACTGAAGTAAAACAAGCTTKTAAATTAGCTACAAATCTTAAATAGTGTTATTCCAATAAAACAATTTACTCACGTGTGCTTTCTGCCCATCTGCAGACAATTGAAGCTGTTACAACAGAAACAGAGGCTGAACAGGTGAGTTATCTGGATAGTTAGTGTCACTAAAACAACTTGAACAATTCAAATCACCTTGTTTTTTTCTTCTTCTACACTCATGTAGGACTTGTTTTTAACATGTTGTCTTTGCTTGTGCAGTCACATGGAGTCTGTGAGCCAGAGGCTGAGGAGGGAGCCGAGACCTTCACGGAGGAAAATCTGGAGGTTAGGGTGGAGGTGGAGGAGGACGTCACAGATTTCTGTGTAGCGGAGCCGGGAAYGGAGGCCGCCAAAGAACCAGCGGCAGAAGACTTCAGCAGTGACCACGTTTCTGCCCGAGCAGAAACTGAAGCGATCACAGAGACGCTGAAACCAGAAGAGTCCACGGAGTCGATCGGTCCTGCAGCTTCAGCTTCAGCTCAGGAGGGAGAGCGGAACGCGGAAGCAGACGTGTCGGTTGAAGACGACGAGGCTGCAGTCTGTGCTGAACCTGTAGCAGCTGCAGAGGTCGAAATTCTATTTTGTCTTCACTTCGTATTGCTTTCATCTCTGACTTGTTTATAGCCTGCAGTTCACTGTGGATGTTTTTGTCAAATATTGGAACACAGCACTTTTAAATCCATGACAAATTTCATCACGGCTATAATAAAGTGTAGCATTTTGTATGGCTTTGTAAAATTTAATTCCAAAAGCAAACAAATACCGAAGTCTTTTCTTTTATTTTGTCTTTATGTCAGGATGCTGCAGTCCAGCCTTTGGAAATCCACTCCACAAAAAACACTAAAAGTTTTTAGCTATTATAACTTAAAATTCATAAAATTCTAAATGTATTTTTTAATATATTAAAAA